TCATGATCCTACTATCTAGAAAAACCCAAATTCTACCTCGGAATCAGATTTGTGGATTATGAAAAGATTAACCTGTCAGGTCAAGTATTTGTTTTTACTGTTTTGTTCTGTTCTGTTATTGAGTTCTGCCACTAGGGGGTAGCATGCCCCACTATTTTATTTATGACTTCAGTGATGGGCACTCAATCCATAACAATGGATATAGAAAAACAAAGATTTGTGGGGGGGTTTTTCTCTCTCTTTTTTTTAGCAAAAGGAGACCATTTTTTATGCTGGCAAATGTATTACTCTCCTAATGTGGCTGCAGTACGTTTTTATATAGGCATACATGTAATAAAATTGTCTAAATGTTAGTACTTTCCAAAAGGCTCTTACTTCTCTGTATCTTTTACATCTTTATTTTTAGCTTTCATTTCATTCGACAGTATATTGCTTTTCTCAGTAATTTCTTTGGTATCTTCATGTATTTTTCCCTTTTGAGTTTCCATTTCAGCAATTCGTTTCTGCAAATCATAACTAGAGGGAGGAAAACAAAAAGAAACAGATCTTAAACTGCCATTTCTAAAACTGTTATCTATTTTAGTAGAATCAGCTGTTTCTGAAGTATTCTTAATTATAGTCAACTTACTTGACTTGGGGTCAAGGTTAGAATTTAGAAAGAAAATCGGTTCATTATAAACAAAAAAATTTATACCTGCTATTACATTAAGTTAAAAGGTGCATGTGTAAAAGTATTAAGTATGATAATAAATGCCTGTGAAACCACCTCCCAACTGAAAGTACGATACTAAAAATTTTTTAGCCAAGTTTAATGGTCTGGCAAATAAATATTCCTAACTTAATAAATTCATCACATGAAACAACTTTTAGATGTTCTTTCACTCCAGTTTTCACATTTCCATTATAATACAGGAAAAGAGAAGGATTGTCACTTGGTAGGTAGAAACTAAGATAGAAATTGATAAATTAAGGCACTTACATATAATACTGACAAACATGATCCTTTTTTCTAAATATCTCATTTTCCAAGGTAAGAAATTCAATGGCTATGTTTTTCTCTCCTTCTAAGGCGTCCTTTTCCTTTTCTACCATCTTAACTCTGTTTAACTACAAAAAATAAAAGTTTACACATATACAATCTGAATTTAAAACATACCAACATTAGATAAAAACAATAAGGAGAATGCCTATTTTAAATGTTAATATAAAAATATGAATTCAGTATAAGATAGTAAACATCTCCTTATTACAAACCTAGTATCTACCCAACTCTAAAATTTGTTAATCCGTAAAAAAAGCATTCTTGATTTGTAAGAAAAGTCTATAGAAGATTCACCTTCTCTCCTCTGTGTTCATTTAATATTTCAACTCTCCGGCATAAGACTTTAATAGGTTCATTTAGCCGTCCACAACCAATTATATCTTCTAAATATTCAAGCATACCCTCGTCGTGTTCAGTCTGGCCTTTTGGTTTCATCATAGCAATTTGTTCAACTTCACCCTTTAAAAAAAGTCACATTTCATGCTCATGGTATATATTTAGCTAATCAATCTTAAGTGAGAATTCATAGTAGTCAATTAACAAACCCAGTAAGGAATTAAATGATGTAGATTAAGTAGCTTTAAGATTAATCAAATACAAATAAAAATATTCTGTCCACTGACATTCCTAATAGTCTTAATTATATCTAAGGGGATAAGGAATGTGAATTTATACTCCCTCACACAAGTTCTTATAAAATTATTAACATACACACATATATACACAAACCCTAAGTAAAAGGAAGATCTCCCCATTTAGAATGTTTTTTCAATATAAATAAAACTTAATGTTTCCATTAAGCAAAATTCAGCAAAGTATTCATTTACTCTGCAGTTTGATTATAGTGGAAACATTATCAACTGTTAATAACACAATTGGAACTCCTGTTCTACAACAAAGAATTTTCAAAAAGAACTTGTACTAAGAGCCCTGTCCTGAGACTTTGAAGTCATTATTATTAAACTTCTCTATGAAGCTGGTATTTTGTGTTCCTCAACAAGTAATGTCAAAAACTTAATGTTCAATTTTTCTAAAAACATGAACCTTGAATGGAAAAGGAAATGACTTATTTCTTATGGTAATAACAGAAGAAATCTGACTGACCATCTTGGCTAGATAATGGCACTGGTACATAAGACACTGGAAAACTTATTTGCAGTTACTAATATTAAAACATTAATTAAAATTTTAGATTAAATTTATGTTTATATTCAGTTTAATTACGAAGAGAAAAACAGAAAATTCATAATTGGTAACAGTCAAGGCTGACTGTCAGACAGCCAGTTAGTTTGATGGTAGAGAAAATTTTGTCTGAACATGTTCAGGCAAAATGCTGATATTTTACTCCATAGCTTGTACATTCATACTATTAAAGCAGAACAGGAACAAACAAGCAACCCCCCCTAAACAAACAAACAAAAAACCCTTTCTTATGTTAAATAGCTTAAGATAAAGAAAGTCAAAAAAAGAATTACACTTTTTAAAAAAATATTACTTTCTCAATTTAAATATCTTAGTGAATTATATGGATTTCTATTTCCTAAGTAAATGATTAAACTTCAAAAATTTGGAGTTAATACTTGTTAATGACAAAGCATCATATTTACCAAAAAATTTAAAGATAATACAGAAGAGAAAACAGCAATTTAGAGATCCACTCAACGAAAGGCATAACTTTTAACATTTTCATACATCACTTGATACTGTGACAACCTATTAGCACACGGTTATTAAATATAAAGTAAAATTCTTATTCACAAAGCCCATTTTTAAATCTGCCATAACATGTACAAATCAGGGTATAAATGAAAATATGTATTTATTTATGTAAAATATTTTATTCTGCTTTCAATTCTCAGTTCTTTCCAAATGTTTGCAGCAGCAATGGTTTATCTCAGACAGGATCTAAGCCTGGAAAAATGTCCAAATCTTGGGTTATAACAGGATGAACTTCAGCCACTGAAGAAGCCAAGAATCTGAGTCAAAGTACTTATCTAGGTTAGGTTTATCAACAGTGGCACTACCGACATTTTGAGCTGGATTTTCCTTGATGTGGAGAGCTGTGCTGGGCATTACAGTATGCTTAACAGCATCTGGGACCTGGGACAGCTGGATTTTCCTTGATGTGGAGAGCTGTGCTGGGCATTACAGTATGCTTAACAGCATCTGGGACCTGGGACAACTAGATGCCAGCAGCATCCCCCCTCCACCAGCTGTAACACCTCTGTGTCCTGGGGCCAGGAGGAGAAATACCCCCCAGTTAAGAACCACTTATCTAAAGATTATAGTTTAAATCTCCTGGGTAACTGTTTATAATGTAAATAACAAACAATATCTGAACATCTAATTTTCTAATATTACCCAAATAAGTTGAATATCTGAACGTGTCTTTTTAAAAATGAATTAAAAAAATTCCAAGAGAACATATTTTAGTTAAATAGCTGTTAAGTATTAAGTATACATTTTTTGGATAACTGAAAGTTAGGACTGAGTTAACAGTCACACTGAATAAAAATATTATACTTTTCCTAGCCAAATTATTTCTTGAAGAGATGGGAATACAGCAAACAGCCTAGCACCAGGCATGGTGATATGTACCTGTTGTCCCAGCTACTTGGGAGGCTGAGGCCAGAGGATTGCATAAGCAAGCCCAGGGGTTTGAGATCAACCTGGGAAACACACCAAGACCCTGTCTCTCAAAGACAAAACAACGATCAGAAAGAAAAAAATTGCCTTGCTTTGGCTGAAGCACAGTAGTTGCTTGTTTTTGTTGTTTTGCCTTCTCCAAATAAAATGAAGGATATATAGCTATGATATCCTCTCACTCTAATAAGGTTACCCAGTTCAAAAAAAAAAGTTAAAAAAGACCGGACATTTACTCATCAAAATGGTTCCATCTCAAAACCCATGTAACATTGTTTTTAACTGTTTCAATTATTATATGCATTCTTCCTTTTTAAAAATCTGCTACTGTGTTATCAGATTAGCACTATTGAATCAATACATTATCACAAAAAGGCTTTTACTTGTCCTTTGACTACTAAGACAATTTTTGTGGCTGTTTCTCAATGTCCTTTGCCTCTCTTACCACTTGCTTTCTTCCTTTTTCTACTGAATTCCATTTCCTAAATACTATCAACCTGTAGGTTGATAATTTGTGCCTAGAGGATCACTTCTTATTTTTTCAGAAAACTCACCCAACTTATGTAAAATTAAAATATGGTTTTAATTTAGGCTAACAAATAAATAATATAGCTCAGAAATAATTTAAAAGTATCAGTCTAAATTTAAAGTCATCCTTCCATACTAAGGCTCCAAATTACAAATAGTGATCACCAAGATGACACCAGAAAAAAAAGTTTCAAGTTGCTATAATGCTAGTATCTGAAGCTGATAGTTTTGTAGAGCCCCCACATTCTTATCTCTACTTTCTATAGCTTAAAGCATACTACTGATATTTTACTATGGGCTCCCTGTTTTAAATTATATTCATACTGTATCAGGGGCATTAAGCAACTGTGGAAATCATCAAGTAAGGCCTTTGAGAGTAACAAAAACAAACAACAATAAAAGAAAGAACAAAAACAGCAAATGTGCTTCAAAAGGAAATTTATAATATGAAGGGCTTAAATCTTAATTTACCGAGGGCTTTGTTGGGTGGCAAATAAGGTCATTGTGATCTTGGTATAACAGTTTTTGATATCTAATTTATAGGAATATAGATTAAAAATCTAAGAGGAACAAATAGGCAAAATGCTCTTTATCTTTATTCAAATGTAATTCAAATTTTAGCAAGCATTAACTACAGAAAACTGAAACAGCACATACAAATAACAATTTTTGTTTCCCTCATAAAGCCTTAATGATTCTTATGGTAAATATGGGTATTTGCATCAAAATTAAATGGCCCAGAATAACTAGGCTTTGAATTTTTAATTTTACTTTGATAATCCTTTTATTTTCTCCATCTTTTACTATACTGTAAATCATTAATTGTTCTTTATCTTCTTCTAACACTTTGTATTCTAATTTGCTCTTTGTAAGCTACCAGAAAAAAAATCACCAGGTTAGTATCTATTGAAACTAAGTGCATAAATAGTTGAGGTTATTGAATCAGACACCTTTGAAAATAATTATCTCTACACACTAAAAGATTAGAAGTCAAATAGTTTATAGGACGTGACAAATTTAGTAGAAGTATAATGGAAAGAGGACAGGCAACATAAACCTAGGTTAAGCCAATTTCTAATTTACAAAATATTAATAATAAGTTTAACCCTTGGTTCTTGTTTTTAACTTAGAACAAGAACAAATGAAGTCAAAAACAATAAGACAAAAAGCAAATGAAGTCAAAAACTTTGACAAAAATTAAAGTTGTGTTAATGGCTGTAGCTTTTGAGTAGTTTATAAAAACATTCCTGAGATAGCAATCATTACTGAAACTTTGTAATAAAAGCACTATCATACTTCTACCTTTGAAAAGAGGAAATGCAAGCAAACTAATAAAATCTAATTTTAAAGTCATAGTTATTCTTGAAACCCTATACAAACCGAAGAAAACTGTATTTGTTTGGAATAGTTATTATAACAGAACAAAGGCTCCCAAATAAGGTTTGTATAAAAAGAAATGTACAAATATAAAAAATAAAATGGTCAAATATAATCTATTAATGATACTTTGAAGGCACCTCTAAGTCTCTTTAACAAGAAACAAGGTTTAATCATCTTCACATTATTATTTATAGCATCTTAGCATAGTGCCACATTAAGAACTCATTTGAATGGTCAACTAACAAAATCTTAAATTAATTCAAATACTAAAAATGCCAATATATTACACCTGGCAATATATTTCAATTGTAAAAAATGTTACTCTTACAAATGTATAAAATTTAGTCCTTTTTAATATTAAAAATAATTTTTACTTTCACTAAATTTAAATTACTTAGGCTGTTAATCACTACCAGTGGCCAAACAGTCTATTATATTTTATTAAAAGTAACTTTACATTGTGGATAGTGATACTGTGATATTGTCTCAAATTTCTAAGCTACCCAAATCAGTTTTTAAAATAAATGTTATTCAGTGAAGAGAGGGTTAATAAAAACTACATTATTACTTACCTTCAAATGCTTTAAATCTCCAGTGTTAAGAGTCTAAGATTCTGATGAGCAACCATTAAAAAAAAAAAAAAAATCTATAGAAACCACTGCCACTTTCCCTCAAACTTTGAATAGGGAACCCTTACTTCTACCTAGTCAGTCTTTTTTGCTGCTTCTTACTAACAGGTGAGCTCCTAAATTGAATCATACTAAATTGAATCTGTTAACTTGGAAAGTTTACCTTGGTATTATTTAGGGAGAAATGCTTTAAACAATTTAACTGTAAATATCACATCAAAAAGTTCACATTATTATAAGAACACAAACGGCTTAAGCATCCTAAGTACTTCAAAAGCATACATTTAATATAAAATTGACAATCTATAAATTATTTGCTTCTCTGGATAGTTATGTTACTAGCTTCCTTTCTTACTAAATTATGTACAAAGAAGCTGCATGAGAAAAAAAAGTTATCCTTAGAAGAGCTAGAATGCAGTCCACTTTATTTTGATGAGTCTTTGCACAAATATAAAACTTTGATTATCCCAGGATGACAGTAAAGAAATAGTAAATAAACACAAGTATAATTTCCAACAAAATGTTATCATCAAATTTAGTATTAACCTTTTACCCATAATTAAACGGTTTAGTTTGATTTTAAAAAATGCTTTTAATTTCACATTAAAATGAATTCAAATCTTGTTTAGAAATATATCTGCAACTGATTTCCCAAAATTCATTTTTAAATGAAGTTTGGGTCACAGAATGACTGCAAATATATTATGGCAATAAAAGATATTATTAAAAGTTATTCCAGAATAACAGTGATTTACTTTGAATACTATGTATATCTAGAAGTAATTACCTTTTTAAAATAAAACTTAAGAATACAAGACTAAAATGGAAACAGGGGCTAAAACTCAGTATCATTTTGATACTGAGAACACTTAGTCATGCTGATGAAACTTTTATTATCAAACCCAAATTCTCACTTTATTTTAGCCATTTCTCTATCACAAAACAGGTTTGCTTTTATCATTATGCTCTTGGTGATTCTGTACAAAACATAGAATACTTACAAATCAAAGTCAGGTATTTTAAAACATCTGAGGAAGCCAAAGATTAGATTAGATTAAAATAGAATATATATATATATGTGTGTGTGTGTGTGTGTGTTTTTTGAAAAATTTTGACTTTTGAGGACAGGAAAGAAACAGCAGGGAATTTTTCTTAACAAAACCACGCTGGTACGATGCTTTACTAAAAAAAGACAGTTTCTCATTAAAAAAAAATCAACTAATATCAAGTAATTAATTTTTATACTTCTTTAAGGGGAAGTTTCTTTAAGAGTTGTAATACTTAATAATACCAAAGTTACTTCCAATAGTAGTGGTTCAAGAAATCAGGCCATTCTTAACAAAAATCAGTTTCAGCAAATTTTACTTAACCATTCTAAGTTTTAAAATGATAAAATTAGTTAGATGCTCAGGTAAATTTGTCAAAGACCAAGTGCACAGACTTTTCCTGTTTTTTGCTATATATTAGACTATTAAAAGGTAACAAATTTTATTTGAAATGTTATCTTAAAAGGAAACACAAACAGAAGTGATAGCTGCTATATCCCTGTCACACTAAAGCAGCACAATAATATTGGTGTTTAATATTTATTTCACTACGCCAATATTTACGTGCTGCTAGAGTGGAACAAGTATGTCAGTCCATCTAAACATAAAAGAACATCTGATGATAAAAATATAGTTTTGAATGAATTTCCTTAAGTTTCTAGAGCAGCAAATAATGATTCGCATCTTGACTGCAGTATGTAAACCATGATGTGCTGCTACAGTACTTTAAGGACTCAAAAACACAGGATGCATCCAACAGGGAAATCTGGGTAGCTTTAGTGAGGGGGAAAAAGTAATAAGAACAAGAATCTCTGAAGTCTTTAATAAACCTACCTGTAAGATTAAAAATCTATTATGGTCCAAGTCAATTCCATGGCTTCGAAGAAGATTTCCAACATCCTTAAATGTCGTTTTCTTCCCACTTATGTGATAGACAGAAGTATTATCTCTGTAGGCTGTTCTGGATACATAGAAGTTACTGTTAGGAATGACTTCATAATCATCTCCTTCCTGTTTTGAGGAAAAACAAAACCAGAAAACAACTGTTGGTTTTAAGTCACAGTCCTGCTTCAAATTTCACTCACTCCATACTGAAACTAATTCTATGGATTAAAAACTTAAATTGAACACACACACAAACTGGCCATAGTAACAAACTGCCACTTCTTAACAAACAATAGATACTTTTCAAAGGTGTCTGGTCCCCTTTTCAAAGATCATGAAAACCAAACACCCCCCCCAAAACCAACCAACCAAAAATCCATCTCCAAACAAGCCTAAAAGCATAACTGACTGAGAAAACCTGATGAAGGTAGATAAGAATCCCACCATATTCTAAAAAACCCACTAATATTAAATGTTCAGACTAGTCAGTCCATTTTTAGAAGCTGCAGCAAGAGATGATTCAAAGAAAAAGAAAAGTAGCAATGGGGTGATGGGTGATATGGGTTAGTTTTTTTAATGGGGATAGTAAACATTAATTAAGGTAAAAAGAATTAGAAAGAATTTACACTAAATCCCCCGATTAAAAAAAAATCTTAAAAAATCAAGTGCGAATCTACTTTAATATTAAAACTCACTTTCCCTTACCATTAACTATGATTTTTTAAAATTTTGATGAATCTAATGTAATTAATAGGCAATGGAATCAAAGCCGATTTCCTGACAATCTATTTTCTAACCCAAATCATATAATATAAGGAAGTAAGGTATAAAATTAAAATAGAAGCTTCTATGTAATTAAAGCCCTTTATATTAAAAAAGTCCAATTTGTTAATTAATACTTTCTCTATATATTTTAGGTTCCATTCAGTCATTTTTGAACCATGAAATTTCCTAATTATTAAGCAGAAGAGGGAGAGAACCCACTACGACCATGTAAATATCTTCACATTTTAACTATAATAGTCTCCACTTCTAGAAAAAGCAACACATTAGCTTGGTCTTCCCACATTTCAAAAGGGCTTAAAAATAGTAGATCAAACTGAGGCAAAACCTCTTTCATATCAAATATGAACTGAAGGGCCAGTAATAACATTACCTTTAATGTACAATGAAATAACAGAGATGCTTAAACAAGTCAAATGTTAAATTGTTAATATTTTCAAGTTTAGGCAATTTATTCTAAATCAATAAAAATATAACTTTAAAAAGGAACTCAAAATCTATTGTAAAAGAATGCTTATTTAGTACTTAGGATCTCAAAACTGCTCATCATTTTATTCCTAAAAAGTAAGGAGCTATAATTTCTCTGGCTAAAATTTTAATATTTTAACAGTTACCACCACTCCCCCAAAAGAAAATATGGTCATGGAGGTAAAAGAATCAGTATCCCTTCTGCTGTAATTACACATGAATTTTTAAAAACCAATTTAAACCAAGAATAATGAAATGTGCAAAGTGTAAGCCCGTTGTTTTCCATACTTGAAGTTGCAAATAACTAAATAGTACAAAATCCCTTACCTTATCAATTATCTTTTGAAAATGAACTTCTACAGTACAACTCTGAATATCCTTGTGTTCATCAGAATTATGTATTAATACAGAGAGTTTTTTAGATCTTATTTTTTGTGCTCGATATCCAAACACAAAAAGCATAGAATCAATAACATTGGATTTGCCACTGCCATTTGGCCCAATAATACAGGAAAAGCGCTGCATTAAAAAAAAAGAAAAGCAAAGAAAAAAATTTATAGTTTAAAAAAGTCATACTCAATACTACTGATTTTAACTTACACTGCTTCATTTTTTACTTGCAGTAAAAACTACAAGGGTTTAAAAGTTTTACTGCTAGAAGGTAACTTAAGTTTTCTTACATTATGTTCTCCTTTATTACAAGCTTCAAACACACTTTGAACAGGACCATGTCCTAATTCAAACCCAGATTTTTTTACAAAACTCATTCTAACTCATTTCCAAGAGAAAATAGTCCTTCAAATAAAAACGTACAACCACTCCATTCAATTGAAAACTTTACAGCTACAGAGGTACCAAATATATCCAGATAAACAAAAAGTAATTTCAGTTGTTACAATCACAGAAAATGTGAGAGAGAAAATAATAGGATAAACAGATACAAAAATGAAACATCTTGTGAAGACCTATCAATAACCTTACAATAGTTATTTAAAACGGACAAATACCTTATGGAAAGGTCCCAGGATTTTTTCCCCAGCATAGGATTTGAAGTTCTGGTTTACAATATGAGTTATCATAAGCCGAGGAGCTCCAGCTTCATTGGTCATTGCTGGAGGCGGGGGAGGAGGAATGCTTTTCAAAATCTCTTCTAAACTTCTATTATCAAGTTCCTCACTTGGAGTCTCTAAGTCAGTGCAAGAAAAGGAAAGAGAGGGAAAGGACGGCGGGGAGCCTACATTAGTGCAATTCAGAGGACTACTCTGTTAATTTTTATAAAGGGGATGGAGGGATGTTATTAATGAAATCTAGGAAATCTATATATTCTACTTAAATACAGAATTATTCTAAATTCATGGGGATAAGAATCTAACCTTTCACCTTGCTTTTGTTAAAAAGGAAAATTCTTCAAAGAAACGCTACCAGTCAAAAAATTGTACAGAACCACCTCGTAGGAGCCAAAACACTACATCATGAACCAAATCTGAAGAAGCCACAACCAGCAGATTCCCTGCTCCCTCTCCTAAACAGGAGTTTAAATCTCCATACGTTGAACGTACCTAATCTGCACTTTGGAAACTCAAAGAGCTTCAGAGACTCGGTCACAGGGGTTTCATGTCATCCAATTCCTGGACTCACAAAAGCTACAGTAGTTTCAAATAAATCACCACCTTCTCTCTAAGATCATGAAGGTGAAATTAGGGTTAAGTAACACTGTGTCACTTTCACAGAACTACATTCATTCTGTGGGGAAGGGAAAAAAGGCCACTTGGCCGATCATCTCGATTTCAACGGATATACAATAAAGTCGTCTGTGCCATTCCAAAAGGCCACAAATTCACAACTGGAGCTGTGCGCTCACACTCATCCCCTCCAGCGTCATTACACCAAATTGCACCGGGGTCCCGTTTCAAAATCGTCAAATGGTTTTCTCGAGCTGCTCTGCGGGATCGACACGGAACCTTCAGACGCCAACCCCGCAGCCTCTCGCCCCGCGCGGGATAACCCAGCCAGTCTCGAGTCGGGCGCCGACGCCCCGCAACCCGGTCCCGCACCCGCCTTCCTGCCGAGTGGAGGCGGGTCACTCACCTGCCGCGGCCGCTGGGCTCCTGGAGCGGCCGGACGGCGGGTCCAGCTCCGCGTCGCTGCAGTCGCCGTCCGGGGACAACTGCGGCCCTTCCTCTTTGCGCCGGGCGGTGGAGGACTGGGTGCCCCGACGGGGCATGGTCGCTGCGGCCAAGAGAGAGCCGAGGCGGGTCAGCCCGCAGACCGCGCTCGCACCGTGCCCGCCGCGGGCCCCGCAAACCCACCCCGCCAGGAGAAAACTCGGCCACTCGTCTCCCAGAGCCCCATTTTAAAAGCCCGCTCAGAGGCAGCGGGTCCTCGGGAATGGAGCGAGTGGCAAGGTGAGATTGGTTTTAACAAGACCGGCGTTAGTGGGCAACCTAGACGTGCCCGGGGATCAGTCCAGGTCCGAGCCACGGCTTAGGCTCTTCACCTTCCTGGAGCCCTTCTCCCGTCCGCCCACTTGCAGGTGTGCGAGAATATTCTCTAAGGTATTTGTAAACAGTGGCTCCCACAAGCCGACACGGACTGACACCGCGGCGCTCGGGGCCGGGCTGGGAGCGCGCCGACGGGGAGCTCAGCCCGCACCAGCTTCCCGTTAACGCGGCTCGCAACTCTCCGGGGCAGCGCGGACCAACGGGCGGCTCGCCGCCCACTGTCCCCTCCCGACATTCAGCTCTGGGCGTCGTGGGCGGCCCGAGGGATTCGCGGTCTCCCCTACACAGCCTACAGGGGAAGGGCGGCCGGGGCCGGGGCCGGGGCCGACCCCCGCACGCCGGCAGCGCCGCTCTGGCTCGGTCCTTCTGGGTGGCAGGGGTCTGTCTCTGCAGGGCCCGGGGCGGAGTCCCGCTGGACAGTCAACTGTGGAAAGTCACAGTGAAGGCTCAGACCCGATGACTGGTCTCTCGGGAGAAGAGCGGGGGGACTAAGGGAGACGCCCTTTCCCCGACAGAGACCAGGATTGGGGGGAAGCGATCCACGAGGCTGGGAGCCTCCCCGAGAGATGCGTCCACGGCTCAGAAAAGTGCAGCCCGCGGAAGCGCGCGCGAGCCCCGGCCGCGGGGAGCGGGGAGCGGCCGCGGGGGGAGGGGTGACAGCAGGGAAACCTCCGGGCGGCAGCCTCAGCCCCGACTTCGCCGCTCCAGCTCAAGGCCTCTACTTTCCAGGCGATCGCGGACAGGGCAGGAAGTAAGAGTATGACAACCTGATCAGGAAAATAAGTACTTTACCTGCGGGACAGTCCACTCGGATCAAGCCTGGAAACGGTTGTATAATCTCCCCCTCCCCGCTCCTACCGGTGTTTCGGCTCCGGGTCCTTCACTCGAAAATGGCGCCTAAAATACAAACTCGAACGGAAATTCGTTACAAATGCGCGCAATGATTTCTGGGATCCACTAATTTGAAAAAAAGTGCGGCGATAACCACCGCCATCTTCTCGTCGCCCGCGCGCATGCGCGAACTCCTGGCGGGCCCCGAGTGGTAGGGGAAGTTTCTGCTGAGCGAAAAGGAACAGCAAGGGAATGTTTTCCCTGTGGGCTACACCAGCAACACTATTGTTAAAAATATTTGAAAAAGTAACCTGACAAGAAGTTTCGAAAAGAGAGGAAAAAAGAAGAGCAGGGCCCCACCCACAGGCGGGGCTCAATTGTCCAATAATACCCCTTAAGGAGAGGGCGGGCTCGCTGAGGGGCGGGGGCTCGGGCCCGCTCGGATGACGCGCTGGAGGAAATATCGCGGGACCAGGGAGGGGGCGTAGCCTTTAGAAGTCACTATGGTGATGAGGAGGTAGGGAGGCTTCTTGGTAACGAACGGGTCCCGCCACCGCTTTCCTGGAATTTAAGGTAAATCTCTCCATCTGCAGATGTGATGAGGAAAGACTGTGGAAGTTGTAGCCGTCACTGCATCCCATCATCCCCACTTTGAGGGTGTGTGCCTTGTGGAGCATTAGTTATTTTCAGTCTTCTTGGGGGCAGTGGGGCGCTAGATGTAGCATTTTTGGGATGCGAAGCCTTGAGTTTGAAGGGAGTGGGGGAAAGACAGGAGAAGACCTGGCTAATCCAGTTCTAAATGATCGTTTAGTCCACATGTTGATAGCAAAATAACGGTTTTCGAGTTATTGCTTTTTGATCATTAGTGTCCCTAGTGAAAGTAGGTTTCGGACCTTTAAAATCATTTGACTAAAAGGCTCCGTAAGGGGAAAAAAGGATTTGGCGGTGTCATCTGGTTATTTTTATGAGGAAATTATCGACCAGCAAGTATTTCTTAAGCAGCTTTTTGTCCACGTTGCACTGTGCAAGGTATAATCAGGATTAGGACGTGTCTGTAGGGCAGTTAGTGTTTCTACTTAGTTTTCTTAGAGGGTTTTTAACCTCGAGTATATGGATCTAGTGGCCGATGATTGGGCTTCAGAGTTTTTAATTCCTCTAAGATTGTATATGAAATTATGTGTGTGTGTCCATTTTCCTGGGGAGTTCGTTTTCCTACAACTTTTATCAGATTGTCAAACTTGATTGTAGTCTCCCTCAATGTCAAAGAGCAACCCATCAATTTGACTCTTTCCAGTACATATTCAGCAAATCTTAGGTACTTGGCAGTTGAGAACTGCTTTTTAATTCTCTTTAATTTTTACATACCTTAAGTCTGGCATATTAAAGCACCAATAAATTTGCT